TTTACTAAATGTTCAATACATTTATAATTTATTCTAACAACATAAGTTTCTTTTAAATAATAAAAGTAACATGTGGTCCGAAATATAAATTAAATTCATTGTTTGAACTTCTTAGTTCAATTGTCAAGTAGTTAAATTTGTTAACTGGAATATTTTTTTATAAATCATTTAAGCAACATTCACTTTAAGTTTTATATTTATTTTATGAACAAAAAAAATTTAATAATTTAATCATTGCAATTAAACTTTTATATTAATTTACTCAGAATCAAATAATTATATTTTTCTGAAAAAAATTTATATTTTCATATTTTTCATTGAATGAATCCACGTATTCGTGATATAACTTGTGATTACAGATTTATGGGAATTGTTGTTTTTTCACATTGAAATCATGAATCGATCATTGTTAGACCATCATTAGAAACCAGGAAGCCCGTTTCGTCCTGGTATGGGATTCTTCAGCAGTGTGCATCCACGACCCTGCTCGTGGGAGTCGAACCCAGGACCTACGTTCTCACGCGCAAACGCCTAACCTCTAGACTACTGAGCCAGCATCCAACAGTGTTAATGTTTAACTCCAACCAATCCGTGATATTTTGCAACCTCACGCATTGTCTTCGGTGGATAACTGCCCCGAACCCGACAAGGTTGAACCGCAATGGTCACAGCTTCTCACTAAAACTCCGGAAATTTCATCATGAAGCTAGTCACTAGTCAGCACATAATAGTTTTTATTATAGGGTTATAAAGATGGTTGAGTTTCATGCTAGGACAAAACATCCATCCAGTGCTTCCAGGTTTTTAATGATTCTCTAACATTGATCGGTTCATGATTCCAATAAATTATTATTGTTATTACAACTTTGAACACACGGATAATAAAGAAGTCAACATATGAAATGAGTACAAGATATAGTAGCTGATTTTAGTGAAGACTATTTGGCATACGTACCACTGACGTCATTAGGTATAATATTATTACAGATAATCTGTCGATTTCTGTAGAACAAGGCCAATAATTAAAAATGGTCATTAGTAGACAATATATGCATTATATAATAAATAGTATTAAAAAATAATTAGGATTAATTAAAACAAAAGGAGAAAAAAATGACAATGACATTTATATTAATAATATATGAGACTTTAACAAAAAAAGATTATTAATGTTATCTATTGTTTAAGACAATTAATCAACCAAAAAGATAATATTAACTATGAATTATTAATTGCTATGATACCTACTGTCTACTATTTGTTTTTTTTCTTAAGCATAGAGAGAGAACCAATTGTTTCACAACTTTATCATACAAACACAAGCAATTGTTGATTAGAATAGTATGAATGGATATGTCAAGTTGTTAATTAAATTATAAACTTGACTAGAAAATAAGTAATCAGTTATTTTTTTATTCAGTGATTATTATTATGTTGATTGTCAATTGTGATTGGACTACTCTTCAATTAACAAACGGACAACAGTGATCGACCGTGTGTATATCCTCATCATGTTTCGTCTACAAATAAGGGTAGAAACTAATTGATAACCTGTGAATGATGTGTTTTTTGTAATAGAAATTGCAATAAACAATGGACGATGTTGAATTTTCATCATTCAATAAAAATTTTAAAAAAAATTGAATCAGCAACTCTTTTTTTGCAATATATGCCGGAATATGTTTACTTGTTTTGTGTTAAAGGTTGTTTTTTTTTTCTTTCTAACCGTTTCGAAACATTGATCATAATTGAAAAACCTCCAAAATTTACTATTGACAATGTTTAAATCTAAACAAAAAAGAAGAAGTTAACTGATCATAAATTTACATCATTACACACAGAGTATAACGAGGTAACTGCTGAAATCTAAGATTAAGACGTTATCTTAACACTAGTTCTGTGATTTCTTTCTATGAAAAATTTAAAACAATTCTATAATCTTGAATGATTAACTGTTGGTCAAGCATACCATTTCAAATGGATACTTGTTGAATATATCAGATCCACTCCAATCTCATAGAATTAAGCCTTAATAGCGTACAAGTAATGCTATTTTAATTACATTTCAAAAATGTATAATAGCCGATATATTTTATCATTAAATTAAAATGATTCATTAGAGAAAAAAATCAAAAATTGACAACCAACAAATTCTGAATAGAATAAAACAAATATATATATATATATATATATATATATATATATATATATCTGCTAATTTTCAATGACTGTCACTCACAAAAAAAAATTTATCATAATTGTATAATTTTCATCTACAATTTTTTACATTCACACACAAAAAATTAACACAAAATCATTTTGAACATGAACCATACTAAAAATGTTTAAAAAGTACTCATTTAAAAATATACATATTTTCTTCATAGATTATACAGTCAAACAAGTGACTTCACATGCTTTTCACATGACTGACTGTCTAAATAAAGAAATTGGAGAATAGAAACAGGAGAAAAATGTAATCATTTACATTTTTCTCCGTTGTATTTATGATATATGTAAAAGAACGTAAATTATCAATCGTTTGGCAACAATGTCATCATATTGTATATAATATAATTTTAGAAAGCCTTTCGAGTTTATATATATATATATATATATATATATATATACACCTATGATCGGATATTATTGGTCTGCAGGTGTCCTCAACTCTCACAGTTAACATTTCCCAGTTATTACTTCCTCGCCCGATTTCTTTCTCAACTGCTTCACAGTGAATATCAGAAGATTGTTTTTAGAGATATTGTCTAACATTTAATCAAACTAAAAGAAGTTAGGCATTTCTAGCTGACAATTACTAATCATTTTTGTCAAAATGAGTATATTGTTATTAATTTGGCGCTTTCGAATCCGAAACCTAAATCTCAAGACTACATAACAAGTAGGTTAGAAATATCACTGCTTGTATTTTAGTTCACATCAATATTTCAAACTAAAAATAACTTTGAAAACCAGTTATCAGTAAAAACCAGAAACGGATTAACTCCCTACATTTTCTGAATCCATTGAGATATTTATAGTTTTTATTATCAGAAGTTTATTTCCTAAAGAATAAATCACATGATAAGCAAGATTCATCATAAGTGTAAACCTCGATTGGCTTTAAAACGAAAGGATTATTAAAACAGACAGCTCATAATGGTATGAAATAAATGGGTTACCTAAGCTCTTGTCTGTAAACACACAATGAATACAATCTGTCACAAATTTTAAATTCATCCGAAAGTCCATCTGATCCGACAATTAAGTGAATAAGCTACTTACTACTTTTTTCAACTGATTTGGATGCGAATCTGTTACAGAAATACATACACTTATCAAGCAAACTATGAAATAGAGCTTTGACTTATCACACTAAGGTGTATGGAAACTATAGTAAGACCCAAATATTATTGATAATAATTCAACTGATGCTAAATACTAGACGATGATGATAACTGAAGTAGATAAAGACATGTAACAGGTATATGATAATAAATTGTTGATTATTTGCGATAAAATACAAAAAAGATATATTCACTATTTTGGAGCTAATAATAATATTCAAATTATTGTAACTTTCATGTATGAAAATACAATTTCATAGGTAAATTTTCAAGCTAAATAAGTGATTAAAATCAGTAACAGGTCGAATACTACGCCTTTTATTATTAATTATCATATGTTTCAGCCCAACAGAGTTATTTTATTTAATTAATTAATCATCTTGCATTTTATATCTCCCATATATTGGGCAAAATTTAGTAGTTGCTTAATATTACATAACCAATGCATTGGAATTGAAAGAAACCTTTAAAAATTCACACTGGTTGAAAGGTTCAATTTAAAGGGAGAAATGTATTCTGAAGATGAGTATTTCGAGAAATTTCTAACAACTCCTGGCATTTCGGCGAGATTATTCACTCAACATAACGAGTGAAGTGACAGATAAGAGCATTTTATCAAATGTCTTATGGTATGTGGTTGTCGTAACCAACCAACATGCATGCATAATCAGTATTTCATGCAAAACGTTCCCTCCATTATTTTAAACGTACCAAGAATAATGATGTGTGCAGAATACTATGAATCCATTATACTCAGTCGTCTTGTTTTCACTTGTTTTTGTTACAGATAAAAAAAGGGCACAGTAAAACAATTACTGGAACAACTGAATATAATAATAAATATTTCCACTACACCAATCGCGTTCTGTTCATAAAAGTAGCTCACTACAATTTCACCATTGAGTTTAAGGCATTTTTGTGTATGTGCAATCTTGTTATAGGTACAAACATTCTCTTTCAGCTATTCATATTCTTTGTCCCATTAAGCTTATGAATTAATTCCTTATCTTTAATGCAACTTATTCAACAAAAAAGTAAAATTTTTGGAAAAAACCTGTTAGTCATTTTGGTGAGAGCTTTATCTGTATCATGTCATAATCGAAGAACACCAAGCATATAAAAGATGTGGTACAAATAAAATTGACGCATTTCACATAGATGAACATTAGTGATATAAAGTGTGATCGGATATGTTGCAATGTTTTTTGTATGCTATAATCACAGTTAAAGCTAAATAACCATCCTCTGGTGCTGCTTTACCAAAAGGAGTAAACCAACCAGTACAAAGTTTGGAAGCTGCTCAACAGGAACTTGCACTAGAATCATACCAAAACAACAAGAATCTAGAGCAAAGAAATAATTCAGTCTACGCTAGTTCGTGAAAAAAATCGTGGGTACTAAACTCATAACCAGAATTATATGTGAGAAAGATAAATTAGTAGCCAAGTTTATGTTGCAACTCATAATACATCGGTTGTTTTGCCAATTTACTCTTTTTATTTGCAGATGCATGAACTTATAATAAATGTTCTACCGATTATGTTAAGAATCTGCGTTTGTAAAAGGATAAAACTTCCAAGATGTATTAAAAAATATGATCGATGACAAATAAAATTAGGTTAAGAAATACAAAAATCCTCTCTTCAAACCAACCTGCAAAATGTATAAAATCATCAAAATACAAATCCCTGAAATGTCATCTGAAAGTCTTATTCTTTTTCTGCCTTGCTTTTTACGGCATAACATAATCATAGATGAACAATCGTTGGGAAACTTTTGGATCCAGATGTATCAAAACTTTATCGAGAAGTGTTTGTCATCAAAAATTAATTTGATGGATTCGGCATCAAATAAGAATTATGCAAATGCACTAATTTCTGGTAACAACAACAATTTTGAAAATGTAACAGACTCCGAAAGTAAAAAGAAGAAATAAATAGCACATAAAAACAAAATGTTTTTCAGGTTCACGAAAGTAAAAGGTTAATTTATGTCCATCGCATCAGTAGAGACAGAAATTTTGTTATTATTTTAAGTCTTTATCTTAGTTACAGAAGCTAGATGTTGAAAATGAAATTGTACAGGCGCTATTTGGGCATTCAAATGACTCAGGAGAAAAAAATGGTACGTAATATCGGTGGTACGGGGGAAACTAACATGCTTCACCTCTACACCACTAGTTAAAAAATATATTCGGAGTGGACTGCTGTTGAAATCACTAAATTCTCAGGTAATTATTTCTGTAACTTACAATCTTATATGACTGAAGTATTCATTGGCATTTTTATGCAAACTACTTTACGTGTAATGTGCCAATCATTCAGTCGGCTGCAGTGATTGTTGGAGTTAATTCCCTCGACGAACAATGTCTAACTTTTCGTCTCCTTTAATGTCTGGCTAGTTGCAATTGCTCAATTAAATATACTGGTACAATTGGCCTACAATTTTTATATATTTCTTAGTTCTTCTTGTTAGTATTTCCAGGTAAATGCTACGACAGGATTCTACTGGATGAAACTTTAAATCTTGCCAATGTACCAAAATTATGAACTTAGACGATAAATGGAAGCATATGCTCCATATACTTGTTTTCCATTGCCTTGAAGGAGATCAAAGAAAACAGACCCTAAAATGTCGCCATACGAATTCATAAACTCTTCTCTGAAACCAATACATTATGTGAGAATTCTCATTTATATTATGCAACCTTCTTCATTTTACCGTAGGTTTCTGAACTGGAATCATTTATTAAGGGAGATTAGGTTCTAGCGTATTTGATCTCGTTTACTTGTGCTAACATCCCGTTTTCTGACTCAAGCATCAGTATATTATGGCTCTATTTGTAGTTATCGTGTCTGGTATTTACAGTCGGTGGATAAAAATTTAGACTCAGTAGAACTATCTAAACCAAGTACGGATGACAATGATTGTTATCACTGATGTAACTGAATTTGTGTTAACATCGCTGGAACGTGATTGAGCTAGCTTTAACTGTTGAATAAACGGTTTCCTGTGACACTGTTCATGAACTGGTTCTGGTTTGACAGTCATTAAGTGATAACTTAGCCCTCTTCACACTCGAGTTGCATGTGCATATTACATCCGTGGCATCATATATAGCGTAAAGACAGTGGATGAGTAATTGATCTTAATCTATTGGTGTTTATGGTTATCAAAGAGTTTTAAGCTGAATTACGAATCCTTATTTCAAAAAATCTCGCCAAAAAAGTCAGATAAAAAGTCACATGATCCAAATATAACTGACTGGTCTGAATCCACCTGAAGAGAAGTAAGAGGTTTCACTGGATCTTGATGTACCAAACAGATATTTTCTCTAGTCGCAAAGCTTTTTGAATTTCTTCAGCATATACGAGACCAATATCAGAGTCTGATTTTCAGCCCTCATTTTCGATCTCCTACTGTTGGTACTGATTTTCTGAGGGGTAATAAATCTGCAGTCAATACAACCCAACATCAGCCAGTTAGTCAGCTAATAGGCGAACGTTGACTATTTCAGGTTTGATTAACGATGCTCCAGATTTTCTGCTGTCGTGTATATATCATGCATATCCTAAACGCTTAGGAGAGTTCTTAGAATAGATTTATTGAGAATAGATTTGAACTTAGACAAAAAAGATTACTTTACTCATAGAGCAGTTGATGAGAGCCCATCTACGAAACCCTACGGTGGTGAAAAACAGATATGGCAATCTGTTGGAAATAAGGATGATTCTTTTTTCCCCTAACATTACACAGCAACAATCCTTGTACGTTTACCTTAATAGAATAACAGTGAGATGTATTTATTTGGTAACTGCAGAGCTTCCAAGCGACAAGCTATAAAATGCACCTGTCCCCTGTCATTAATTCCTTATCCTACAAGAAGCATTTATTGAGCTATCGTTTCTTAAAAAACTGTCGTAGACCTCGTTTTATTCCAATTATGGCTGAGATTGTTCCATACAAATTTCGTAGGAGACTAACCTGATAAAAACCTCAGAGAAATTTATTTACATCTGAGTTTATTCAAACTCACACCGGATAATTCTTAGTCAGTATTAAATGCAAAAATCATCAGAGTAAATAGTGATCTGATAGGACAGCTACGATTAGCGTCCAGCCGATGGCTGTTGACCACTTAATACAAAACTCACAAGCGATCGTTACTCGTCACTCCACATTTATGACTTAACGGCCACGTTGAAGTGTATGACTGTCTTTTCAAAAGTCTACTTGGTTAGAGAGCATAACGAAATCCATTTGGCTAAGGAAGACGTTCCTAAAATGGCTATCACCAGTCTATTAGGATTGTACGAACGTTTGCATATTACTTTTGGGTTAATTAATTCCCCTCAACCTTTTCAGTGACTCATGGATGACATTCCTAGAGATCTCAACTTTGTGCATGCTTATAATGATGAATGTAAGGTAGCAGATTTGGATAGAGCGTCTCCAGAATTTGAATTATCTTTTCCAATGACTCCAAAAACATTGCGTTACTTTCAGCATACAGCAATATCAAATTGAAGCCAATCTCCTCAGTTTTCTCGGGCAAACTATCCACGCTGAACTTATTCATTTTTCGGATAATAAAGTTGCCGCTATCCAGGGTCACCCACTATTATCGTAGTTGACCCATATGATTCAAAAATCGAAGAGTTTTTAGAACCTTGGGTAAACAATACATGGTAACCTCTGCCATTCTTCTTGAGACGATCTTGGGATGTTAAGTCGAGATATATCAATTTCGACAGAAAAATCCTGTGTGTTGTGTTGCAAGACATTTTCAACACTCAGTCAAAAGAAAAGAAATCACTCTTTCTACAGATCATGAGTCCTTGACTTTTTATGGTATCTCGTCTTCAGACAAGTACTCTACTAACAACTGCACCATATCTCTCAGTTCATTCCAGATATAAAAACATAGTATGTTTGCAGACTCCTTCTCCCATACAGGATTCTTGAACAGTTTCCGAGGGATTAACATTCTTAAACTCGATCAACTCCAAAAAGAAGAGATTGACCTTCAACATAAATTATCAACCACAACCCGGAAACTTCGAATCAAACAGATGGAAACATGTAAGGTAGCTGTACTTTGTGAAATATCTACCGGTAAAGATCGCCTAATTGTCGATGTAATGTCTTCAATACGCTGCAAATACTTTCTCATTCAGTTGTTCGAGTAACCATCAAGCTGGAGGCAGAACTATATCGCTGACCAGGCATGAAAAAGACGTGAGCTCGCTTCTGTGTAAACCGCCGGATGACTAGAATCTGCACCTATCAAGGATATTAATGCTAAAATGTAGTTCACCTTCAACTATAGCTATAGATCGTAGACGCCAGTTCAAACATGGACTTTTACACCCTCGAGCTGCACTTCTAGGAGTCACACGATTCCGAACGACTTCCTATCATTTGCGAGCTAACGGTTTGATGTGACGATTCCACTAATAGTTGAAAGGTTCCTTTTCAGACGTGAATAGATCACAGTGGGCGGTAGCTGTTTAACTCATATTACTCGGAAACCACAATGTAGTGAAAGCCAACGTCGAACCTCTGCAGCCGAACTCTATTACGCGACAATATTTCGACTGCTAGTAGAAATCGTAGATCCTACATCTACTTCAACAGATGTAGCTCTGAACTCCTGCACGAGTAGGCTTACAAACTGAGTGCTTTCAGATAAATCAGTTTCTACTCGACCTCAAGCAACCCACTTATACAACTTATTACATACGTTTCCACACGTTCAATCACTTTGTACCGAGCTTTCCAAGCTGCATACGAAATACCCTGCAAAGTTCTTCATCGCGAACGTAGGTGTAAATGATACTAAAAACAACATCAACACCGATCAGCTGAAAGCCGCATCCTTAAAAAGAAATACCTTATCTGTCTCACAAATAAACAATAAGACCCCGGCGACTACGATAAAATCTTCGATTAGTAACACTCGCGACGTAACTTCTTTCGTTTCCAAAAACGACCTAGAACGGCGCACTCTGGAAGATCTGTGAGATTTCAAGATCATCTTAACGACTACTGAGTGTAAGACAACACAAAAGGACATCTCTTTAATTTCATTTCCATGCTTTATTATTCCCTGTCTGCGTTTTCAATTTTTATTATATCTACAAAGGGATAAAAATGTTGTGTACTTGTGTATTTCTACTATTGGAACTTAAACAGAATGGAGTATTTCTAATGTACTTGTGGGGTTGTGGATATTGTTGAGCTACCCAGTGAAATCATGAATCAACCAATGGTAGACCACCATTAGATACCTGGAAGCACTGAACGGCCGTTTCGTCCTGATATGAAACTCATCATCAGTATGCATCCACGATTCCTGTGCCTAGCAGGATTCGAACCTAGGACCTTCGATCTTCAGTGTGGACGCCTAAATGCCGAACCACAAAGCCGGTATCTAACGGTGTCGATCTCCGACTGGTGTATACAGTTACTATCGAAGACAGCATATGAAGTTACGCAAGACTGTTAATTGGTCGAAGTTTGGTACTGACACCGTTAGACACCGGCTCAGTGGCCAAGTGGTTAGGAGTTCGTACGCAAGATCGAAAGTCCTAGGTTCGAATCCTGCGAGGTGCAGTATTCATGAACGCTCACTGCTGTCGAGTCTCATGTCAGGACGAAACGGCCGTCCAGTTCTATCAGGTATCCAATGGTGTTCTAACATCGATGGATTCAGTGTTATACATTGTGTATAACTTCAAGAAAAATCGAACCAAGACGTTTTTCGCGTTTTTCTTTTGGCTGTCAAACAGTTTATAGATGCACTATACTTGTTTTTAATCTCTCACATTTCTCCCGCATTCACTATGATAAGTTTATTTTGACATGCACTCACACTTTCATTTTTTCTTTCCTAGGG